GTGGCTCTTATCAACATAATTATCGCAATTAAACGGAGATACCCCTGAGTTTTATTCGCTTGAAAACAAAACAGTGAACTTTATCCCAATCGCGTTTTGAAGACGTGCCAAGTGACACCGTGATAGCGGAATCGACGAGATTAGCGAAATAAGCTCCTAGAAATACAATCGCTGTTAATTTAACCGAGATACCAAACGTTAATTAAAGATCGCGAAACTTTTAGACGAACTTGCGTGTAAAACTGGCGTGTAAAATTATGCGATATAGAAATAGAACTGGTTCGGAAAGCGATTCGTTGGTGTAACGAAAAGTTAGTTGAAACAAGACATTCAGCCACGATCTGCTGGCAAAATGTTGGCAGAAAAAAAGAAGTGATCGAGCCTGAAGCGAGAACGATGAAGATATCGACAAGCGAAATGAATCTCCAAGCTTTTTATCGGTTGCAAACGGTGACGCAACCAGCAGCGCAATTAATAAATCTCTCTAGAGGGTAGATAGAGAGAGGGGATCGTCGTTGCGGCGCAAAGTTGTATAGAGTTTTTGATATTTCAATTAAACCGTCGACAATCAGTCGCAACGCGACGACGTTTCTCGAGAGTGCGTCAGTTAGATAAACGGCCGTACGATATCTCTCTTTTATTCGGAAAATTCATAGGCAACGTTAACAAAGCCACGTAATCGATTAATTCTCTACGGATTAAATTTGCGTAAAACGATAAAAAAAGTACAAGTATCGTTAAACGACATACCAATCGGTTTCTAACAGATAAAATAAAAATGTAATTACGATGCGTCAGGAGAATCAGTGCTTGGCGGATAAAATTACTGCACTGTGTTACGATCTTCGTTTCTTTCGATCTTCGATTGATTCGTTAGAATATTTTGTGGCAAGTACGACGTCGATATCTACGAAGCTAGGACGAACGAGAAAAATTTATTGTTCGTTTTGTGATATGTATTATCTAGGAAGAAGGACACGTTAATTTATAATTAATAGAGAAAAGATATGTCAACTGTAAAAATAGAGATGCGGGGTGGTATTGATGTTCTGCCGAGATACGCTAGCGGATGTCGTCTTAAGATACGGAGGAAAAAAAGAGATAATAGAAAAACAAACGGAGCGATCAAGGTCAGATTGTTAAGTAAAACAATGAACATTTATGTTTAACGCGTGTAACTGCTAAAAAAATTAGAATAGATACTTTCTCCACTGAATCGCTTTAGAAGATACGTGTAATCATTTCAAATACTGTCATTTCGCGTTGCTTTTTCGGGCAGTCGCAGATAAGAAATTTCTGACGTGGACGTAGGTTTCCCTGGACGTATTCCAAAAGCATAACGAGCATTTACGTAAAGATATAATCCCCTCTCGGTTCGAAAGAAATCGATACATCGATATCGACGAGCGATGGTCTGTTTTCTATAACGATATCTATAGAGTGAAACAAAAATAGAGTTCAAAGCTCTAGGGTAAACGGTACTTGCCAAATGACGAAAAAGATCCTAATAAACGTGGGTCAAAAAATTGATAGTTTGAAAATAATAGACAGTTTTTCGCTCAAGATGAAAGGAAATAACTTTCTCGTCTCTGATCGAAACAGCGGATCATCTTATCGTTTCTCTTTTTCCTGCCTGCAAAAGGTCTCCCACGTGTCCTCCCTCTATTTCCACGCTTGACATCTGCATAGTCTTTCAAAGATTGCCAGACTTAACTATTTCACTTGGCACTTTGTATTAAACGGATAATCCATTATTTCGTATACGGTACGATAGCTGCTAAAGCGAGAAAATTACTCGCTTTCAGTTATTAAACAAAACATTGTTTATAACTTTGAAACTATTAATATTTCGATGCATATTTATTAGGATACCTATTATCCACTCTAGAAATTATGAACTCGCTTTTTGGTTCACCCTGTATAAGCGGCGTGCCATATTACGCTCGCAAAGAACATTATCCAACCGATATTCCTCCGATATTCCCCAACTTTTATGTAATTCTATACTCAGGTAAACAAGGAAAAAAATAATGATTTGCGCATTTGAAAAATGCTTTGTCGTTATAATTACCAAAGCAAATTCAAATCTATTCCAGTGACCTAATTATGCAAACTAAAGTGCATATAAAAAATACATTGTACAGAAATTTCAGTGATTACGACGATTCTTATTTATACGATCTAAAAAATAAAAAAAAAAGAGGAAGATAAAAAGGAAAACCAAGAAACAAAACAGTGAAGATTACTCCAAGAGTTTAAGCTCGAAAGCACAAGGTCGAGACGTTGCACTTCTTCTCTTCACTGCAACGTGTTCTTGACATTTTAATTGAATGCAAAATATATTCCTTGTATCTAAGGTCAACTTCCTCCGACACGGATAACCGTATTACGAACGCGATCTAACTGTTACTGCCACTGACTTCGAACCATATTATCGGTTGCTGCTCCTTTTTGTCACTCTAGGTCAAAGCCATTGCAATTATAATATCGTTGCCCCATTGATACATTCTTTGGAAATGTACTATGTTCAATCCAATTATTTCGATTAAAATATCCCGATCTTGAATAAACTAGAAGCTAATAACGAACTTTTCGTCTACTTCATGGTACATGCAGGATTTAATGAAAAAAAAAAAACTAAACTTTTTGTTCTTTCGCTTGGACGTTCTTCAAGGGATCGTGGTAGTCCCAAGACAGTTATAAAACTGTTCCTAGATAACTGTTTTATTACTATGATCACAGACGAGCAAAAAATCTGCGCGACTAGTGAATATCTGCCAAAAATCAAGGTCTTCGATACATTTGCAAAAATGATCTGTGTAGAATCAGATTCGTCGAGAAAAATAGTAGTTCAAACCGAGTAGTTGTGATCTTACGACGCGAACTGGTAAATGAGAACTGCGTTTGATGAAAAATGTATTAATGCAACACAAAGTTACGGTAATTTTTGACAAATGATTCGGTGCCACGCCTCAGCAAGTGAACCCAACATTCAAACAATTACCGATTTTTCGGCTCGCCTCTTCGACTCGACTCGACTCGATTTTACGACTCCGCGACTTTATTCGCTTGATCTATCGCTTGATTCTATTCTGACTGATATACCGGCACAATGGTTAAGCGTTTAAACTCTCTCGTCATAAGTTAACCGGCTTTTACCGATTCGCCACTTGTTACGTTTTTCTTTTTTCTTCGAGCTTCCTTTTGTCGTCAACTCAACGATTTTCGCCGTCGACGTGTCGTTATCCGAACTGACAGATGCACGCGCACGCTCTACATCTGGTTAACTACTTCTCGATAATATAATCTATTCGATATCAATCAATTATTCAATTTTTCGAAATGCTTCGTACAACGTATTTATAAAAGGCTTCTATAATTGCTGGAATATCTTTGTCAACTACCGTATGTCAGTCGTGTGCCATTCAACAGTCAAACCGTCGACCACGTCGCAAAATTTCTCCTACGAACGGTACAATTAAAAAGAAATCGCCATCCGCCAACGTCATCGTCACTTGCAGACTTCTAGGGCCATCGACGGGCCACGTGCTCCTCGACGTGATTCGTTGAACAACGATTAGCGATTTCGCGAAGAGAACACCAACGGTCCTGGCGAATAGGCCCAGGGCCACACGGACACGTCGCTCATGGCCGATTATCGGGGGTGACTGGCGTCGTAAATAAGCGCGAGCCGTGACGAGCCAATTAGCCAGGAAGCCGTTTCGCTGGCGCGTCTGCCGGTGTTCTGGGACTGACTTCTCCCCTGGGAGAAGCACGGCGACGGGACCGGGTGGCACAGCCTCGATTATCTCGGCCC